TGTTTTCCCCCCCCCCCCCATTTATTTATTTTTTAATATTTACTTATTAATTTATTTGTCTACTTGGAGGTTATATTTGGTAGCTACATATGCTACATGTCGATTCGTTAGCTTTTCTTGAACAGTAGGGAGGAGCAGCAATTTCATAAACAGGCTATGCCTTCTCCTTTGGTACAGAAGTGTTGGGATCACATTAACGTAGATGACATTGCACGAGAAACTGCAAAGTTTTTGCCCTATTCTGCATAGATTTAAAACAGGTCCAAGTCTTCCCAGCTGAAGGTTGCTACCTCACACATCACTCACACAAGTCAAAATTATATTGTTAGGACAAAAGTATTATTAATGTTTTTAAGACATTTCAAATTATTTTAATGAACATGATAAATGGCAACTCAATGGGCAATTATGCCATCAGATTTAAGACATTGCTGGCCTCGAGAAAGGTTAGGCTGGCAGTGATGAGGAGCTGGCAATGACAGTTTCTTCAGTTGTAACCAAATCATGTATGGCCGCAGCCAGTTCTGTGCTGCCTTTCCTCTCCTACTTACATTCCTATCCAAAGACAGATGCATTTTTGTCTGACAGCTCTGCTATTCATGAGGAATATTTTGATAAATGACTTCTAAAAATCATTTTTATATTAATTTAGAAAACTGTAGTGTAGAGGGGAGAATGTTTTTAAGCCACGAGACAAGTTGCAAAGCAAGAGACATAGTTTTGTCTAAAGAAACTGAAAAGTATAAATTTGCAAATTATGCTTTTAGATCATAAGGTTTTCCTTCTCTTTACGGCCATTTTCACCAGAAAACTTTGCTTTGCTTGGATAAATTTATTAAACGACTGTGTCTGTTTCAATAATGCAGAAAGGGAGTTTATCAGTAATTTACAGTCCAGGATATCTGAAATGAATTAAATTGATCCTGAGTTTCGGCAGACTAGATGAAGCTTTCATGTTTCACAGGTTCTCCTGCAAACTAGCCTTTTTGAATAATTACAAAAGAGCATATTTCATACCAGTGAAATATTAAGATGAAATTGGAGAAATATCCTCAATTTTCTTTTTTTTTAAGCGAAGAAATAGATGAAATAGTAGCATTAATTGGTTGGAAGGCCTACATAAAAATTAATCACATTTTGAATCATTCAGATGTTAGATATAGTGAAACTTTAAAATAACCTTTTTAAATACTAGAGTGATTATTTTTTTTAATATGTTTTTAAGCTGTTTCCATTATTATAGCTTCATGCAAAAGTAACACTTTCAAGACAATTTCTTCTGAACCAGAAGAGAGCTAATGATTTGAAAAGACCAAAAATCAAACCATATCTCAGAAAGAGGGAGGGAACAATACTTGCACAATTAAAGTGAGATTCCACAGTCAGTAAGATTTAACTGCTCTAACTGGAATTACCAAACAAATGAGAAAACATGAGGATGAATTTCTACTTTTGTGGCATTGAAAGAATTTTTGCCTCTCAGATTTTAACCTCTGGGATCGAGCCTATAGAGAGCAAAGTTAGCTCTTACTGGCAGAAATGCAGCTCTACTTACTGATTGTAGCATTCGGCCTTACAGCCCCAGGTATCTGTGAACGCTTTGACACTTAAGTAACTCAAGATCAGTATGGTTACTTGTCTGTATAATATTCTTCAGCTATTGAGAGTGGAGCTTAGGGGAACTCATTTCTAAGAAGTTTAATTTCAGGTTTTCCACCTAACTACAAAAAATAAAGTGTAGTTCTTGAGTGATGTCAGAGAAACCATGAAGCCATCTTCTTTTTTTCTTTGCTATCAGGATAACATTTTAGAAAAAGAAATGACCCTTTCCTATATTCTATGTTTGATCACAGCCCCTGTCTTTACTCCGATCCGGCTGGCTGGTGGGAACAACGCTCATGAAGGAAGAGTAGAAGTCTACCATGCTGGCCAGTGGGGGACTGTCTGTGATGATCAGTGGGATGATGCAGATGCTGAAGTTGTCTGTCGGCAGCTTGGCCTTGGGTTTGTGTTTTCTACATATTTTCGACTCCAGCAGCAAAGCAGGAGAATTAGTGAGATACGTAGCTTGGAGTTGTCACAAGGTGCTCCTTTAAAATTGCACTAATACTTTGAAGCAGTAACTAAGTTTAATTACAGAAGGTTCAGGTACAGCACTATTACTTTCAATTCCCTTGAACTTTGATTTATAGGATCCAGTTTTCAGTATTATATGATAGAGGCAATTTTGTCTATAGGACAGACAAAGGATATGCCTCAGAATAAATGCTGACTTTTCAGTGAAAACTCACTACAATTTCAGTAAAGTTTCAATCTAAAACCGTAGGTGAAGAAAAGGAAGTTGCTTTGACTGTTAAAATCCTTACATCCATTTTACTGAAGAGTCTAACAGCCTCCTTGCTTTGGAGTAAGAGCACTGCTTTGTCAGAGGAATATGGTTTTTGGCATGCCTGTGAGAATCTCTCAAGATTCGTTTAAGTCACGAGTTTCTGAAGATTGTCAGTTTGCATATACTGAGTAGAGATCTGTTTGAAGTTTTGACAGTTAAACTTGCCAGCAATTCTGTCTGAACTAAGCATGGTCCGTATAGTCACAGCAGCAGAACAGGATTTTCTTGCTCCTCTTCTAAACAGCCGGGGGTGATTCTTATACCACACAGAAGGTAAGTATTCAGTATTTGAGGAAAGATGCTCCAGAAGTGGGAGGCAAAGAAGATAATTTCTCGATTAGAGAGGAAGGAGCTAGGGACAATTGGGATGAAAGGTCAGATGGGTTGAAGAGGGAAAGAATGAAGAGCAAATTGCCAAGCAGATACTAAGTTTTAAACCCAAAGAGAAGAAGGGGATTATGTCTGAGGCAGACTGGATGGGAACTAAGCAGGTCAATGCAGAGGAGACTGGAACGGGACTCTCTTGTTCAACCCTGCTGGGATTATGATGAATTAAAAAAGTGGCATGGAAGGTAGCAAGCTTTGGGGCATTAATGGGTGGCCCCCAGAGGGTACTTGTTTTGTAACGTGAAACGGAGACCTTGGACTGCTGGTGCCACCCAAATTAGCTCAAAAGGATGAGAACTGTGCAGTACTTAAAAAGCTTCTAGGTCTCCTAGTGAGAATCAACATGCTCCTCTTACACCAAATTTTCATTTTTACCCAGTTTATTTTGGTTTATATTATAGTTCTGTATTCCCATACATTTTCAATTGGGAATACCTAATAGAAAGTCTATCTTCTTACAGGCTTTTTCTGATTTTGAATTGGGCCTCTATTAATAAATTTGGGGAGTTACTAAACTGTACTTTACATTTCTGTATGCTAACAACAAACGTCAGGTTTTTAACTTGCCTCAGTGATTACACTAAAACATTTGATTACTTATATTTGATATTCAGAAACTGCAGTTCTAAGATGTTTCTAATTTCATTCATTTTTCTGAGTAAATAAATTGTATTAAAATGGTGCTAAGTCTTTCTGAAATATTTCTAGACACTTACAGAATTTCTCAAATAATCAAGATGTCTTGACAAATGTGCTTATTACTATGAAGTGAAATTTTACCGACAGTGGCAATAAACCAGTTAAGAAGTAATAAAAATAATGTAAATTTGCATACTGTTAATCCATCTGGAAACATGCCACAAATTGTAAAAGTAAAGAATCTCAGCAAGTACTTTCCCACACCCTTTCAGCTTTTCTGTTAGCACTCCTATAAGAACTTCAGAATATTAATCTACCATTAATAGGTGAAAAACAATAATTTATTTTATTATTTGGTTTCATAAATGCTTTTTGCTTGATACAGATTGACCTTGTTATAGTAATGGGATGTGTTGCCTCTGCTTCATTTGAACTCCAGAGAATCTTACTAGGTTATGGTATAATTTGTTTTCAACATTCAGAGTAGTCAGGCACTATCTCTTTGATTTCAGCCAGCTTCTTAAAGAATAAGGATTTATTTTTTTCTAACATTTTCTATAAATTTGTACCAGCATGAGCATTAAAAAAAACCCACAAGAAATGGAAGCTATGTAGCAGAATTTTCTTTTTGTGTGCAGTCTGTATATATGCAAATACTCTTCGATAAACTTAAATGAAGATAATTCATCTGATACATATGAATGTTCCAAAGTACAATAATCTTAAAAACTACCAGTAAACCAGGGTTTCTATAATAAGCCTGTAATATATTTAGAGTAATATTAATAAAAATAGGTAACCTGAAAGTAGACTCTTCAGTCCATACTTATTCATTTTAACAGAAATGGCATGAAGTGCTGAGAACTCACAGAGCCTATCTCGGTACGTCAGAAAGATACACTGGAAAACCAAGACATTTTTATTTATTTAGCTGCTTAAATATAAATGGGATACCTAGATTTGAAATAAGTATTACCCTTAGTGTATCGTTTGAATTATATTTTCTTAGTTTACTATGTAGGCATTCACAACTTCAGCCAGTTTGAAAAGCAGTGCTTTATGAAATATGAGATCGAGGATTTGGCTCTTTTTCCCATTACCAGCATTGCAAAATGCAAGTGTTCAGTAAATTAATGCTACATGTAGCATTAATACTAATATATAGCATATATATACATATAGCATAATGCTACTTAACAAACTAAATGAAAGAATAGTAAGGGCAATCAAGAAATGTTTGCAAATCTCAGGAAAAAATACCATTTCCATTCTATTAAAATTCTTCTTGGCATTGCTAAACGAAAAAGAATAGAGCAAGAAAGCTGTTAATATGTTATTTGGAATTAGGAAGGTCATTCAGAAGAAAACACAATGTCTAATTAAAAATATCTCTCAAAAATAAGGTACTAACTTCAGACTGAAGCAATGTGTTTTGCTAAAATGTTGCCTGCTGAGTGAGGATATTTTTGGGTTGGTTACCCGCTTCTTTGAAGCAATTGCAGATTATAACTCTTCTCCCTACTGAGTAAGTAAGACCTGCTTTTTCATATTTTCCATGTTCTCCACCACTTGAAGAAGGCTTCTGGTCATCAAAGAAATAGTCTGAAAATTAACAGTGCATTTTCAAGATTAATGAAACACATTAGCTTGAAAATATTAAAACCAAACTGATTTTAAACAAAAAGGAAAATGCAAAACACAGACTGTGTGTGCTTTTATTTACTGAGCACCACCATCTACACAGTGTCTACCATGAATTTCGACATCCTTCCTTTTTACAGAACCTTTTCCTGATCCTAATTTAATTTTTATAAGCCTCTTACTGTTATTTTACCCATACCCCTTTACTGTTTATCAAGAATTTGTATGATTGCTAATTGTAAATTTAGTGTTGTTTTCCTTTTTTAAAAAAAGAGAGAACGGAGATTGTTCTATATTTATACAAACCACTAAAAATGAAATTCACATCTATGTAAATCCATGCATGGATTAATGAGTTAGTGCCTTGAAAACATGAACTACCACAATTTATATTAAAAAAAAAAAAATCACATCAATGTACTATTCTGACACACAGTTGCAAAAGCCAACGAAGAGTTTGAATGATTACATCCCAAAACAAAATAGTCAAGACCTGTCATGTTTTCAGTATATGCTGAACATACCATTCCTGTTAGGTGCTACGTGACAATATAGGGCTGGTATGGAAAACTCTCTTTAAAGCAAATTAAAAATTAATACAGAGCCCCACACCCAAACTGCATGTTAATTAATTTAAACTAATCCTTTAGACTATAAAAATTTAGACAGACATTTCAATCTTACAAGTTGAAAAACAAGAGAGATATTGAGACTACTCCTACAAAAACTAGACTGGATATATCAATAGAGAAACTATTGATTGGAAAGAAACCAAACCATGAAAAACATTTGCATATGAAAGACATGCTATCTTGAATAGAACTGGAAAAATCCTGATAGATCATCAAGTGTTAAACACTGCCTAATTTCTCTAATGCTGAAACCATAGGGTTTTGTGCTCAGAATCCTCTATGCTGGCATAACACACACAAGGCTCGTCATTGGTCTGCTTTCTGTTCTTATTGCTACCACTCATCGGTGGTATGACATTGTCTAGTCACTTAAGATCTCTTTGCCATGGTTTTCACTTGACTAAATGAGGAACATTCGGTTTTATCTACCTCTTCTGGTATGTGAGATTTGATTAATGAGTTTTGAGGACAACAGATGAAAGTACTGTTGAAATATATATCGGATTATTTTTTCTACATAAAACCATTAAATTAAAATTAGAATCCTCATACCCGACTGTACGTCTATAATCTGTTCTAGGAAAGATATGCTTAAAAATCAAAAGGGACAGAAAAGGAAAATCTCACAAATACAAAACAACAGAAAGCAATTTTCTAAATATGTTCAAACCGCCTAAGTGTGGAAACAGTTATGTTCAAGTTGCTCCATAGCCTCAGGTGAGACTGAAGTTGACTGTGGAACCACATCACGTTATGTGACATAACAGGGGCTGCGCTGTCAGTTACCAGTGCTGCGGCTACTCAGGCAGTCCCGTCTGCTGTTTTACAAGCTAGATATGCAATATTTTAGCTCTTCCCACCCAGTCCCAGACTCTTCAGCTTGCTTGTTCGTGACTGGGTGTTTGTTGCACTTCAACAGGGGTGTTGCCAAGGCGTGGAGCCAGGCTTACTTTGGAGAAGGCTCAGGCCCCGTGCTACTGGACGAAGTGCGGTGCACAGGAAATGAACTGTCACTAGAACAGTGCCCAAAAAGCTCCTGGCGAGAACACAACTGCGGCCACAAAGAAGATGCTGGTGTTTCCTGCACACCTCTCACAGGTACTTCAATTGGCAATAATCACACAGGAAAACAGTGACAAATGCAGAGTTCACAGCTATGGAAGGAGAATTTGTAAGGTTCGCAGCTGCACCACACACCCACAACCCCCTCCCCAGTAATAAAGTGTTCTGGCAGTACCAAAACAAACCAGCTGTTGGCTGTGGAAATTTTACAGGTACAGAAAATCTCATTATTCAACACAAAGCCTTGATTGCTCGGTAACATGCTAACTGCCACTTACTATGTGGGGCATGCCTGTGTATCACATCTATCAATGGCAGTAAGCATTGCAGCATAAAAGCAATGGGAAATAACAGAATATACAAAGATAAGGTGTATATACAGTGAAACCACATAATCAGAGCCCACTCCTGCAGACTTGGCACTGGGGGATCAATATCTTGTGCTATTTCTCTTGCACTTAAGCAATTGCATTATGCAACACTTAACAGCTGGCCGGGTGCATTATGGTATTTCTCTCATCTTCTCGTTAAATGACACCTAGTGATCAGCACTACATTTAGTAGTCTAATATTCTGGTCAGATGTAGTAAACACAATGTTATTAATTTTGTTTTAGAACAATAATTGGACCTAAGAAAAACTGATTCTTGTTTTTGTTTTTCCTTACTTGTTAATGACACAGATGGTGCATTAAGACTAACAAGTGGGAAAGGCAGTCATGAGGGACGCCTGGAGGTCTATTATACTGGGCAGTGGGGCACAATCTGCGATGATGGGTGGACAGAGCTGAATACACAGGTGGTTTGCCGGCAGCTGGGATTTAAGTAAGATTACTTGATATTAGATATCTGACTCTTTGACTTGACAATGATGACATTTACATGAACCCTACATTATTCAAGAGTCTGCTTTTTTAATATTAGTTGAGTGCTTCACAGGAACTACTGAGTTGAAATCCAATAAAGTCTGCTACCCTCAGTCTCAAAGAGATATTTATGGCCTCACTATAGGTAGGAAAAAAAGCTTCAATTGAGGTTGTCAAATCATAACAGCCTTTATTCACGAAATTCTAATCATCTTTTTGGCTAAGATCAATGCATATGCTACAGAGAAAAACTGATGTGTTGTATTCTGTTTTGCCTATAAAAGTTTGATTCTTCAAAATCTTTGCTTGTTGAACAGTCATTAAAAATCACAGACATTTTCAAGGTCTAAGTCCTTCTGGATCTAGCTCAGAAAAATCCACATTCTGACCCTGGAACACTGTTATGTATTGAAAAGCATATTTCAGAAAAAAATCCCATTAGTTTCATGCATTTGCTCTTCACTTCCTACTGACTGTGGCTGCAAAGATACACTCTCACTAGGTGATTGTTGTCTTGCCTTAGCTTATAACAGCTCACATTCAAAAAAGAATGTTGTCTCATTTTTCCCAGGCTGTGACATTTAAATGTATATGTAATACTAAGAACATGCTTTAAGTCTCAGTCAGTGAGACAGCCATATGCTTGCTTGAAGGGAGGCCTTAATCAAAGGTATTACATTCTCAAGTTTGTATTAATGTAAAGTAATTTCTTAAAAAACCATTACCATAGAAGCAGCATATAGTGCTTTTGTTGAATTTAATGCTAACTGAACGTGCTCTGTCATGGTTAACGCTGGTTACTGTCACTACTTCAGAAACATTTATTTCTTCAGAAATAATTTATTTCCTTTCTAGTGCTTAAGGATCGCAGGCCCTCAGATCACTGTGGACCAAAACATTATGTATATGTATGTGTTACACAGGTATGGAAAAAGTGCACCGGAGAGCTACTCAGAAGGAAGCTCTGGGCCCATCTGGCTGGATGATGTCAGCTGCTCAGGGAAGGAGACGAACCTTCTGCAGTGCTCAAGGAGAGAGTGGGGAGAGCATGACTGCAACCATCAGGAAGATGTCAGACTCATTTGCCATCCAGATAATGACAGCCATAAACTCTCACTTGGTAAGGCATCTCTTCGGTAAAGTCACAGTAGGAATATTGCAATGGGTGCAGATTCAACCATAGTATAGTATACTTCAGGATGCTCAAAATCCTAATACTTGGCAGATGCATGCAAAGAAGGAACAGAAAGGGAAAAAAGAATGCTTTCTTCCTGAAGATCATAGGAAATAATCCAGCTTTGTTTAAAGCAACCTAAACAGCCAGAACATTAAAGATCAACATAAATTTGTAAGGTAACAAAGTCAGATTCCAGAGGTCCTGTTCTCTCAGCCTTCACCAGATTTTAGACCTATTCAGCACTTTCTAATGGTATAACTGCATTTCACTGGGCACTCCAAATTTTCAGTAACCGTCTCATGCTATCAAAAGTTAGAGACATATCTGACCATTGAGGAACATAAATCAGTAGTATATCCTCCTATGGCCTTACATTCAGACAGCCTGAAAAAAACAGATAAAGAGGAAAGTTCAGAGATTGCAAGAAGGAAGGGTGAGAAGCATTACATTATTTCTGTATTGCTACTGCAAATCATTTGTGTTGTGCCTGGGTAAATGTTGACCAGGAAAGAATGATACTACAAACAAAGATCAAAGAGCTAGTTCCAATGTCAGAAAGCCTACAAACTTGTATGAAAAAAAGAATACAAAGACAGATAAGAAATGAGAGAAAAATAGTAATTACACAGTGGCATTGTAGAACAAAATATATACAAATGAATTCCAAAGATTCCTAAATCCACATGTAGATAATTTAACAAGAATTCTGGCTATCACACAGACACAGTAAAAATTGCAGGGGAACAATGGGTTCTTCAGCAAATCTGAAAAACAGTTTCATTTTTAAAATATGCTACATACAAAGTTTGTAGCTTGTCAGTAGGTAACCTGCCACAAACTGTTGCCAATATTCTTTAATTTACCCAAGTATATTTCAGTCAATTTTGAAATTAGAATTAAAACTAGTGGGGTTAGATTCACAGCTTCTACTGAAATCTAATGGATTTTTATGGCGGGGTGCCTAAAGTTCTCTGGAAATTGCAGAGACTGAAGGTCTATGCTGCAAACTAAAACTGCACGGCATTGCTACCTGTTATAACAACCACCAGCACTTCCACAAGTACTTTTCTAGCCTCTCCCTCTTTACAGTCTTTTTCTTTATAGCATTTTGATCCAATGAAGGATTTATGTTGCAGTACAGTTCCATTATGTGTAGATGATGTTAAATCGTATTTGGTAGAAAGTATTTTCTCAGACCAAAAATAACAGGAATTCAAATCATGACTGC